GCCCAGATGAGCCAATAATCGGTTAGCAGCAATGGGTACAATTAATCTATTTTATCGAGGGTCTGTCTCCAGACTGGCATGATTTGCTGCACGGCCGAAGGCCGCGGGGGATTAGCTGAATTCGTCGACAGTATCAGTCTAGAACCGTTGGTAGCCGGCGGACCAAGACTCTCGGCTGAGTTCGCCAGAGTCAAGACATGGCTGTTGCTTTGATTCCATGAGCCTTTCTACGCGTAAATCATCGCTTGGAGCAGCGCTTGGGAGCGGGTGATGCCGACATGGACATGCTGGCCGCGAACTGATTGAGGCGAAGATAAGGGGCAGAAATTGGCCATAGATGCAGGGCATTTCCATGTGTTTGCGATTCCATTGACGCTCTGGAAGACCGTCGCAGCGATGGCGAAAACCTTGGCGGCTTGATTAGAGAGTCTTGGAAAAGTGTCTGACCGTCGCAGCACCGATGATATTGGCCGTGATGGACCAAGGGCTGGTGGCGGAATTACGGCGGTCGCTTGGCTGGGGCTTGGCTGGTAGGCTGGAGTGCAACCTCACGGCTTGGCTGCGAGAAAATAGACCAATGAGCCGAGGTACGTGTTATCAGGCTATCACGGCTATCAGAGCGTGCCAATGAGCATGAATTACGGTAATGAATGATAGTGATATGAACTGGTGGTCCTGGACGGTGCATGGTCCCAGTTTACCCCAGACGGATGAGGGGATAAACTCTATGCGAGAGCAAACCTTGACTAATAGATACGAGGTTGTTTCACTCTAATCGAATGTATTCGGTCTCTCTGGTTTCGTGACCTGCCACTTTCAGCCATAGACCTTCTTAGCTGGCAAGGAGTGTGGTGTCAAGTGAGGAGAGACTCAATCGTTGGGAATAAAGGTACAGTGTGCCTTGCGCAAATCCGGGGTTCACTCGGTTATCAAAGGCTTTTTCTATCATTTGATTGCGCCATGTTGAACGAAGGTGATGTTTCAAAGGGGTTAGAATTGAGGGACCTGAGCTAGATGACACGGCGCCCTGTGACTGGTCGTGTCTTACAATGTCTGACCATCGCCCTTATTATCCCCTGCCCATGTGAATGTCGCGATATTTGTTCCACCTTCGCTCTGGTTATTCCAGTAAGCAGGATATATCCTATTACCTTGATTGCACTTCTTTCGAAAGTATATATATACGAATTGATATCCAGCCAAATTGATAACCATCACTACTCTCCTCCAGACTCCCCATAGTGGACCACTCTCGTATTGAGATAGCTTGGCCATGCTTAACATGGGTGGACCGCTCAAAGGCACCCAATCGACTGCGGACAGAAAGAAGAAAGAAAGTGAAATCGACCATTCTGTGGGTATAGAACATCTAACAAAACAAGCAAAACAAGCAAACCCAGACATTGCTGCAGATCAATTCCTGTATACACTATTTATATCTGTGCATACAGTTTCAATCATCAAAGCAGACTTTTCCCCCAGGCACCAGCCAAAATTCATCCTAAATCTTCCAGTTGGCCGTAAGTCGCTGTCAACACGAACTGTCCCTCAGGCCGAAACCTTACAACTACCCAAGTGCTGGCGCTTCCACCAGAAGGGCCCTTTCATCGAGATCATGCAAAGAGATCTTCTAGTGATAAATTTAATGCATTGCTTCTTTTAGGCTGCGAATCCTGCAAGGAACCCACAACAAGTGAAATTCGACTGTGCTTTAAGGCGATTAATGTGAGAAATTGATAGATCCAGAGGTCTCAGAAATTAGCCAGAGTTAGAAAAACGTGTACAGCCGGAATAAGAGAGAAGAAACGGGCCGGGGTAAGACCGTATCGTCAACGATGGCTCGTCCATGAAGGATGCCTACACCAAGTCGCCGAATACGAGAATATGATGTTTCAACCAATGGGTATACAGTGGCTGAAGTCGCTCCTCACAAACATTGATGTATTTGGCCTCAAGAAAGAAAATGTCAACACAGCCCATAAGTTTAACTGTGTCAGGCATCCAGAAAGCAGCATAGGAAAAGATAACAAAAGATAAACTGCTTGCTTTGTATTCATTGATGCCTCAGGTCGGCAATCTGAGGTTCGGAGCTGTCATTGGTTGATAATGCCTGATTGCTGACTCATCCTGATGATCTCCTGGGTCACCGGTTGGTCGCTGGCCATATCCCCTCTGTCCTAGCGACACTGGTTCCAGGAGCGCATTCTACCGACTTGGTATTCTCAAAGCTTCAAAACATACAAAATCATGTCAGCCATTGTTCGAGCTTGGAAATACTCACCTGGAATAGCCCATTCATCGTTGTGGCTCTCCGTGACTAACTTCCCTATTTTGTCGACAGTGCAAATCCAGGGGAATTGAATTCATCAGAACCATGGATGTAGACCGGAGCTCGTACACTGCTAAAAGTATCACCCATCGAGTCAAAAGCAATGGGTTGTGCCAGCCGATCTCATTCGACAACACATCGCGTCCACATTGCGTGGTTTCGGCATATGTGATTATCATCAAGCCTCTTCAGCGAGGTAGTCTGTCCTTTGCGCTATGGTTGACTTGTGAATGTCTTCATTCATGTTGAGTTGTAGATAATTTTGTCTCTTCAATGAGTCACCTACCAGATGTCGTGCCTCAATCTGGCGATGGGGAAGCAGGCGACCAAGGTGGACGAGTTGCGCTTGAGAAAGTTGCTTGTACTTCGTCCGAGCGACCATCGCAATCGCAGGACGCTGCAAGAGGATCCGAAAGTTGCCGTTGGAGATGTGAGTATGTCGACTCTGGGTCGCTCGCCAAATATTTCCTGGTGAAGACTCGCAACGTGGGCAGCTTCCTTACCCTCGAGTCACAGCTTGACAAATGCGTCAAATACGACCAAATTACTCTTCGAGTTCAAAGAATTGAGCCCTGTTGCCTTCGGAGCTGGCTGACAGCCCATACCGTCTCACTCTAACCTGGTCCTTCGTGTCTGGCAGAATGTTCAGTGTGTCTTGACCTGCAGCAGAAAGAAATTCAAGTATCCTCCTGCGGCAGCGTCGGAACGATGTTACGCTGGCCACTGGCTTTCGGAAAGACACCTTTGAGTGGTCTTGAATCTCCATAATGCGGTTCGCAGAGCGCCGACGATCAAAGGACGAAGGGGACGTGGCCGCTCCATAGTCGGACATTTGAACATGCCAGGACTTGGACGAAAACAGGATGATGATCCAGGATACCAAAGCCCCTCGAGCGCGCTGGGCGAGACTCGAAACGGTCTTTGGACTCGCTCAAGAATGCGACGCGATGCTGACCCAACGGGCGGGAACAGGCACTGATCTCATAGATCCGCCGTCTGATTATTGCAGGCGAATGGTTGATGCAAGCAGTCATTCTACGACTTCTTCGTTGCCGTTATTGCAAGTAAGGCTTTGTGTCTTGGTGGTGGTGGTAGCCGTTGTCATGCCTCTTTGCCGTTCCTTAATGATGAGAATGCAATTGTGTCGCCTAGCGCTCGCTTCCTGTTCGCTATCAGTTGTTACACCGTCGTCGCACATGCTTTTTTCCGCCATTGTTACATTGGCCGATTGAGTCTCCGATAGTGTTGCAATAACCTTCTGCACCGATCTCAATCTGCTGCTTGTCGTCGGATCTGAGAAAACAAGCTACTAGATCCCACCCAGTTTGGAGGTTTCTCGGCTGCGTGCACGAATATCACCAGTATCTCGTGGCAGCGCACGGAAGCAGGTTGTAGCTGGCCGGTCCTGCAGCGCCTTCTGGACTGGATTCTCCTTACGATTACGTATATTGCAGAAGGCGACGGACACTGGTCTATTATTAGATCTGAGTAGCTATTGCATAAGAAGTGTCCCTGGATCCAACACGTGAGTCGCGTGTATCTAGACAACCAAGCCACGGTTCAGCTTTGCCAGATGGAGGGACGGGTGGAAGCGAGATTTCTCCGACTGGAAATGTGAATCCTGTGATCCACTTGTCCCAGACTTCACGGGGGAATAATGAAAATAGGGAAATACGAGGTGAGCCGGTAAAAATCTCTCTCGGCAGGGCAGAGAAGACTGCCATGTACCTCAATCACACGAGGGCACTAACAAAAGCGACCGACGCAAGCATCAGCATACCGGAAGTGACAGCGAGTCGTTGTTGGGGTTAGCAACTAGCCCTCATCTCGTGAGGATAGGCAACTATCAAACTGGAATATTCCGAACGCTTCTCATTCGATCATCATTGTTGGTTCCATGTGAGCGTTGGGCGTGATCAGGAAAAGATCGACTGGCGGGTGGGAGCCTGCGGCCTATGGTTCGTCATGGTCGATCTTGTCCCGGTATTGCGCCAATTTTTGCGATCCACTCGACTTGTTGATTGGGTCGAAATTGAATCGTTGTATACCTAAGTTAGTCGGTGATATCAGCAGCCTCGAGCGGCCCCCGCGATTTGCAATGCGGGGAATATCCCCGTCGATTTTCTTCAATCACCAACCGCCATTCCATCATTGTCAGCTCCCAGAACCTGATCTGCTGACCCTCCCCGACGTCCTCGGAGTCGCGCTGCCCATGGAACGATATGCCAGCCTCGGCTTTTGAGCTTCATGTGCGTTTACCATTGCTGATTTTTAGGTCCTGTCGCTATGTTCGCTCTTCTCTTTGCGATTAAGTTTGTCCTTTCCTCGGTTACGGCCAAATCGGGTCTTCGTCCCCGTCTCTGCGATGATTGACAGGGGTCAGTTCTGGTTTTTTGGGCTTAACTCAGTGATGAGCGGTAAATATGGTTCTCCTTACAGTCCTTCAGGCGGGGTATGCCCCTGGCATCCATGGAACATATCGAGATTACAGGAGTGCAGACCGAGGAGCCATGTGCATCCAGACCAAAATTGGGTGATGGCTGGGAAATGAATGCAGGATAAATACTGCATAGATCCGTGTCTTCCCCCTGGTATTGCTTGAGAAAGACCGTCTCTCTGCCCAGTGTCCAGTTGTCTTCAGACCTAGAGGCTGAACAGGCAGGCTGACGCAATGCATCTCCTCCGGGTTCTTCTGCCGCTTCTGACCCTTTCGCCCGCTGTGCTGGCGGCTCCGGCCACGCCAGCTGCGCCTACCGTCACGATCGCATCTCCTGCGGCCACCATTGTTGGGTCGTCCGGAAAGGTAGAGAAGTTCAATGCCATCCCCTTCGCCCAACCACCCACGGGCCCCTTGCGTCTGAAGCCTCCCCAGCCAATACAGAAGCCCCTGGGCACTATTGACGGCACTGGCAGCGCCAAGTCGTGTCCTCAGTTCTTTTTCTCGACGGACAACAGCGAGTTTCCGGGGTCCATCACCGGCCTCTTGGCCAACATTCCCCTCTTCCAGACCGTGACAAATGCCGGAGAGGATTGTCTGACCCTGAATGTGGCCCGTCCGTCCGGCACAACGCCAGGCTCGAAGCTGCCCGTCCTGGTATGGATCTACGGCGGCGGCTTCGAGCTGGGCGCCACGGCCATGTACGATGCGACTTCGCTGGTGGCAAGCTCGATCGACCTGGGCATGCCAATGGTCATTGTCGCGATGAACTACCGAACGGGAGGATTTGGGTTTCTGCCCGGGAAGGAGATCCTTGCGGATGGCGCGGCCAACCTGGGGCTCTTGGACCAACGCCTGGCCCTGCAGTGGGTGGCTGACAACATTGCAGCCTTTGGCGGCGATCCGGACAAGGTGACCATCTGGGGTGAGTCCGCAGGATCCATCTCGGTCTTCGATCACATGATCCTATACGATGGCGACAATACCTACAAGGGGAAGCCGCTGTTCCGGGGCGGCATCATGAACTCCGGTAGCGTGATCCCGGCTGATCCCGTAGACGGGGTCAAGGGGCAGCAGGTATATGATGCGGTTGTGGACTATGCCGGCTGCTCCTCGGCGGCAAATACGCTGGAGTGTCTGCGCGGATTGGACTATACTGACTTTCTGAATGCGGCCAACGCGGTGCCGGGCATCCTAAGCTACCATTCCGTGGCCCTGTCATACTTGCCTCGACCGGACGGCAAGGCGATTACTGCCAGTCCGGACATCTTGGTCAAAACGGGCAAATATGCGGCCGTACCAATCATCATCGGCGACCAGGAGGATGAAGGGACATTATTTGCGCTCTTCCAGTCCAACATCACCACCACCAAACAGGTGGTGGACTACCTGGCCAAGTATTACTTCTTTGGGGCGACGCGCGACCAGCTCGAGGAGCTGGTGGCCACCTATCCGGACGTGACCACAGACGGCTCGCCCTTCCGCACGGGTATCTTCAACAACTGGTATCCGCAGTTCAAACGATTGGCGGCCCTGCTGGGCGATCTCACCTTCACTCTGACGCGCCGAGCATATCTCAAATACGTGACCGAGCTCAAACCCGACCTGCCCTGCTGGTCGTACCTATCATCGTATGACTATGGGACGCCCATTATGGGCACCTTCCACGGCAGTGATATCCTGCAGGTGTTTTATGGTATTCTGCCGAATTACGCGTCGCGCGCGTTCCACACGTACTATTTCAGCTTCGTGTACGATCTCGATCCGAACTCCCGCCGGGGTAGTCTGATGGAATGGCCGCGGTGGAACGAAGACCAGCAGCTGATGCAGTTCTTCAACAATCGGGGGGCCTTGCTGGCGGATGATTTCCGCAATGACACGTACAACTTTATTCTGGACCATGTGGATTCGTTCCATATCTAGTTTAGTATATAATTGCGACATGAGTTACGACTCCGCTTAATGCGATGAATTAATGAATTGATGTGATTGCCGATGATCCATCTTGCACGATAGTTTGCCAGTAAGATTGGCATGACTCGCAGGAGAATTAAAATTCCACCAAGCTTCTTCGTCAATGCCATCGCACAGCTGGAGAGTACATGCAAGTTCCGTAATCCTTGAACTTCGACTTCCATTAAGACCGTAGCGACACCAGCCTCCCCAGCGCCCTGTGGTCTATCCAACGGCATCAACCCAAGAGATCCAACAATTGCTGGATTATGTGAGATAAGTCAAGTGTGCGATCTGTACTACCCAATTACATCATATCGGAAAGAATCCAGTCGGAATTTGTGGTAGAGGAGGGCTCTTCAGCCGTCTCTCAAGCGACAACTGTACTCCGTAACACAGCCGGTGGACGGTGCTGCAGGAAATCAGAGTCATACAAGTTAAAGCTCAAGGACTGTCAAGACTGGCAGAGACTGAATTCGGAGAGATATCGTGTCGGCTAAGCTGACAACTGTGCTACAAGATGAGCTCATCTTAAAGCGGAGCACGTAATTGCATTGACCCACAGTCATTAAGTCGATCCCGGTATAGTCAACTGGCGGTTTCACTCCACTCGAATATGCATGATCTCTATGGACTTGTTCAACTGCCGTCTTGCGATCCGATGAAGAAGATACGGATTAAATACGCGACACTGAGCGGAAAACTGGGGAAGACTCGCAAGGATCAAGGATGCAAGTCTGCAGGGAATAATCTATGCCGACTTATTCTGCATATTCCCTGGTCTAAGCAACATACACAAGCATTTTGCTGCAAAAGCTGATTAGCCTGAGCTGCGCTTCAGCTACTGCGACTCGGCACTATTGGCTGAAAATGGTGCCACAAAGCGCTAAAACGGCAATTTTTCCAACACATCGGCCCTCTTCCTATGGCCATCGTGCACATTGGTTTCGTCCAAGGATGGATTTGATCGTCGTCGCTCGCGATTTTAGACTCCGAGCTAGTAGTATCAATATTGATTGGTTTTACCGACCGGCTATCCTGAGTTCCTGACGCATCGACTAGTGTAAACTGTGTAATCCATCGCCGGCTTCTTAAAGATCAACACTGCCGTGCCCCTGCTTCAATTGCTTTTATCTTCAGACTTGCGAGTCAGAGGCTGAATGACTGCATTGGCCTATCGAATTGCATCATTCCGCTGTCATAAGTTCAATAGCTTCGTATATCACACTGCAGTCTTTTATAGTTGCTAGCACCGTCACGAAGTCACAGTGAAAGCCTCCATTCTATCACTTATGCTATTCAATTCTCTTGGACATGAAGATTCATAATCTGATAGCCCTTTCTGGGCTTTTAGCGGCCTCAGAGGCTGCATCCTTCGGCCAGGATACCTTACTCATGCCCAGGAAACAGGCAAAGCAGCCGAACGTGCTGTTTATCATGGCCGACGATCAAGATCTGGAATTGAATTCTCCGGCTTTCACACCATATATCCAGAAACATATCCGCGACAAGGGAGTTGAATTTACCAATCACTTTGTGACGACCTCGCTCTGCTGTCCGTCGCGGGTCAGTTTGTGGACAGGACGGCAGGCTCACAATACCAATGTAAGTATTGCGTTTGACTGAAGGGCGGAAGATTGCTGACCAGATCACAGGTTACAGATGTGTCTCCACCATGGGGTGAGCTGGCCTCCACACTGTGAAACAGATGAGTAAAATGCTGACGAGGGATAGGAGGGTATTCCAAGTTCGTGTCACAGGGTTTCAATGAGGCCTGGCTCCCTGTGTGGCTGCAGGAAGCCGGCTACAACACTTACTACACTGGTAAACTCATGAACGGCCACACGACTAGTAACTACAACTCCCCATTCCCTAAAGGGTGGAATGGATCCGACTTTTTGCTTGATCCGTACACATATGCCTACCTCAACTCCACTTACCAGCGGAATCGCGAGCCCCCAAAGAGCTACGCGGGCCAATATACCACAGATGTCATTACAGAAAAGGCCATGGGCTTCCTCAACGACGCTCTAAGCAGTGATCGACCATTTTTCCTTGCGGTTGCTCCTATCGCGCCGCATTCCAACATTGATCCTAGTGCGCTGGGCACTGGGGGCACAAAGGGTACACTGATGACCGCTCCCATTCCTGCTGAGAGACACAAGGATCTCTTTCCAGACGCGAAGGTCCCGCGGACGGCGAATTTCAATCCCAAGGTGCCTACCGGAGCCGGCTGGGTGCAGCACCTCCCGCTGGCTAATCAGACCGTCATCGACTACCAGGATCATTTCTACCGCCAGCGATTGCGCTCGCTGCAGGCGCTGGATGAGATGGTGGATGCTCTCATCGCGCGTCTGGAGGCGAGTGGTCAAGCCGAAAACACGTACATTATCTACACGGCGGACAATGGGTTCCACATTGGCCAGCACCGGATGCCGCCTGGTAAGTCGTCAGGCTACGAGGAGGATATCCACGTCCCGTTCTACATCCGCGGACCTGGCATCCCCAAAGGGAAAACCGACGACTCGGTGACCACGCACATTGATCTGGCTCCGACGTTCTTCCAGCTTGCGGGAATCCCTCTGCGAGAGGACTTTGACGGCACTCCGATGCCAGTCGCAAAGGGGGTAAAGGGAATCGCCCATGAACATGTTGCTGTCGAATTCTGGGGTAAATCGCCGCTGGAGGGAGATTACGGTGCATTGGGTTAGTTCACCGTTAACCAGCATCTCTTATCGAATCATAACTGACATATGCAGCACCTGGCGGTTCGTTCTCCATGCCCAACAACACGTACAAATCCGCGCGTATCGTTGGCAACGGATACAGTCTGTACTACTCGGTCTGGTGCAACGGCGACCACGAGCTGTACGATATGATCCGAGACCCCTACCAGGTCAACAATCTCTATACCAACGTCAATGCGACAACGCCCCGTCTCCTCGGCCGCGATCTGTCCAACGTCATCACTCGTCTTGACGCACTGCTGATGGTTCTGAAATCGTGCAAGGGCGATACCTGCATCAAGCCGTGGGACCTGATCCATCCGGATGGCTCAGTGAAGGATCTACGGGATGCTTTGAACACAAAGTATGATCGGTTCTACCGTGCGCAGCCCAAGGTCTCGTACTCGGCCTGCGAAGGAGGATACATTATTAGTTCGGAGGGACCACAGAATGGATTGGTCTATCGCGACGGATTGAGCTGGGAGGCTTGGACTTGATAGATTACTATAGACGATAGACTGTTTGTATATACAGCAATTACAGGCAAGCAACCTGAAGGAGCTCCTTGGATGGTCGTTTCGGATTATGTCAATTTAGTCTGCCGGACAGACCCGATTATACTCAACCAGGCCATTCTAAAACATCAACTGCTGCTAACATGCATTGAAAACGTCAGATATTCAATCGAAGACTATTGGATATGTTAAAACCGAGCCAACTGCGTCTAGCGAAAAGTGAACAGACTAGTGTTCTCTCACCCCTAAGATATACTACCATGTCTCTTCCTTTCCACTCATTCATAGAACATGTTTTCAAGGATTGCTATAGCGTTATATTCAGCTTGCTACAATCAATACCAGTTCAGACATATACCACAATCTCTTCCAAAGACAACCATCAAGCCAACCACTACGTCTTGGGAACCATCAACCGATCAACATCCGGTCCTACCTCCATCAGCAGCCATCACTAGATCAGTCCGGAAGAGAATAGCCTACCATATCCCTGTGCATACGCACTAAAGACGACCGTATTCCCACTCCCACTCTGCAGATCAACATGCAACGTCGAACTCGCAGGGCTACCCGCCGCAGGCAAAAACGCCAGAACCTGTGTCTTCCCATTCACGTTGACCGTCGCATACCGCTGGCTCGAATCCCCATTCTCATACTTGACCCGGATGGTACTTTTTGTGGATGCACTACTCTGCACCCCCACGATCTGCAGCGTCCCGTCCGACGGACCACCAATCCAGCCGACGGCTTGGGCGCCGGAGCAGCCGCTGCAGGAGATGACCTTTGCGCCGTTGGAGAGGGTGTTGGTGGAGGATTCGGCTTCGGGGTTGGTCTCGGCGGGGCCGGGGTTCCAGGTTCCCTGTAGGGGGAGGATCCAGTTTACTTGGTTTTGCTGGGGGCATTCTGTTAGTGGTGGTTGTAACGAGGTAGGGGGAGGGGGCTTACCAGTGTGGCGGATGTTCCGCTCAGGGTTAGTGGTAGCCAGATGTAGGTTGAGGCCATGAGGTTGGAGGGGACCCAGCGGTCGCCCATGTACCTTTACCTAGGGTTAGATTTGTACCATGTTTGCTAGAAGGGGGTGTTAGGGTATTACATTACTGTGTCGCCGACGCCGAGGATGAAGGTGGTCTGCGAGTTGAAGGTGTTTGAGCCGGTGGTTGCGAAGTTTGCCCATGAGCTCCAGGTGCCGCTGAGGCTCGTGGATGTGGTGTACTTGTTGTCGTTGGTTGCTAGACGAGTTAGTAGAGCAGTATAGAACAAAACAAGGATACATACACCATCCTGCAGAAGTTAGCCAGAGCAAGCTGGGATTGGGGGATGGCATACCGGTTAACTGTGAGCCAAACATGAAGTATACCCCGTTCTTCTTATACATGGCAGGAGCCTCGATATGCTCCGGAAAGAGATGTACAGTAGAAGTCACGTTAGTATAGTCGTCGGTCAACCTGTTAATCCTCAAGCCATTCGGGCGCTATAGACGTCAGCTCCGTCCTCTAGAGAGATGTCATAAACCTACATCCTCGCTGAGCAGATACGCGGACCCATCATCGTCCTTGAACAAACCCATATCGCGCGACTGCTGCCCCAAAGGCTGGAATGACCCGCTAACCAGCGAATTAGCGTTAAGGCTGCCGAGACACATCGGAGTCGACTTACAGGTAACTGTACTTCCCACAAACGCTGGACGAAGTGGCAACTCCAGTCTTGGCCTCTTTATAGGAACTGTCGT